TTTAATGTTCCCAAAATGGACATCGCGAGTCGATCTGCTTCTAAGGTAAGCTTTTTGACTGGCCTCGTTTTCTTCTACGCCCCCTGTTTGGCTCTCGTAGGATAAGAGATTTCCAATATCTGTTTTCTGAGCTGTTTTGTCGAACCGCGACCGTTGTTGGTTTTTCAAAAGCTTTGCACTGGTGCAGGGTGACTTGGTTAAGGCAATATGAACAAGTAACTATATGATAATTTGTTTAGCTATTTATTATATGATATTTCTGCTGTGCATATAACAAGCACGGGCATCTGAAAGATTATGAGTAAGCAGCAGCATGTTGTCTAAGAAAATAAATGACACTAGTCATAGCGATGCATCGCATATATCATATAACCGGGGCTTTGCTTCACTCAGATAATCTCATAACTTCTATTGAGCGAAAAAAAACTATATATGTATCAAAGAGGCGCTGTATCAAAGAGGGACATTATCCCTATTACCTGCACATTAATTATTTTGTGTACTTGTTCTCTATAAAGCTCATGAATCCATACCACAGAAGATGATATAGTCAATGTGAACAAATATATTTCTAGTATATGTTGCTACCCCGTATCATGATCTTTCGATCCTTATTATTTTTATCTCTTGAGCGAGTCATTTCAAACGAGGTTGATATTCGATAAAAACCACGATGCTATGGTACCAGTAACTGGAACTTATGTTAATGTTTAAACACTCATTCTTACATTGGCTAATATGATATTTGGTCCCCACAAATCAATGCTTATTTGAATATGTTAATTCTTCTTACATATACTGTCTTGTACTGTTTGTGACTCTCAAGAGATCTGCCGCTAAGTGAGATCAACTACGAATTCACCTGCATAATCACAGGTCATCTGTGTTAGCCATGACCTCACAAGGCATCATATCTCCTAGCCATATCGAATGTTCTGTTGCGTTTTCTTTCCATTGTTTAACTACCCTGAATGACATAATACAGTGCAACTAGCATGCGCTCTAACAGGAGAGACGAGGTATATAATTTCAGGTCTGCTGTAACAACAAGTCTGAAATGAGAGACCCGACTGTCGCCACAAAGTCGATAGAAGTCCTGAAAGAGACTTGAGTTTGATTTCAATTCGTCGCTCCTCAGCTCGAAGGAAAAAGTCCGTGTGGGTATGGTACGTGAGGATGATCATCACTCTAAGTCATTTGCTTAAGCAGAACGTCTCTGAATTCTGATGCTCTCTGTAATCGCTTTTTTCGCAGCTGGCATTTAACTGTGTAACTACTACTTCGTTGTAGGCGATGGAAAAGTGAGTGGACCTCAACGACATACGAAATGCATTTTGTTAGGAGTTCGAATTGATAAGTACATTAATTAATTTCAATTTAACAAATCACTCGAGCGGAAAAATATCAGCTAGACGATGGGGCTCAGGGGCTTATTTTAAAGCATTGAAAGCGTTTGGAGTGTATCGGATAGAATGGTCGGTTGATCTGTTTGTGGTCGGTTTAAAACGATAGCTTTTCGATTTTTGATTCCGGAAACGAGAGATATATTCGTTGTAGATCGAGCATCAATTGTACTGAGAATCAATTCACACAAGAAGTATATCGAAAGTAGAACTCGTAATTCATATCGCTTCTTTAAAGCATGACAAAATCACTGATATACAGACTCTGCTGAGTTGTTTTTTATACTAACAATTATCAACAGTTATTTAAAAAATTAATTTAATTAAACGCCTCCTAAAAGACAAATGCTCGCGGAAGAAGCAAATTCAAAGGCAATTCACATGACAAATGACTACTCAAATGAAGTGCAGAACCATAAATCTCTATCATAAGCTCTGAGAATATGTACAAAGGACTCACAAGTTATCATAAAGTGTTTGG